GTATTTTTTTTTTGGTTTTTTTGTCATTTTGTTTTAGGTGAACTGACCCCTTTCAGTATTTCCTATAATGTGGGGCTCGTATTGGAGAATTCCCTCAATTTTTGTATGTCTGGAAACGTCTTTACTTCTGTTTCATATCTAAAGGAGAGCTTTGCTGGATACATTATTCTAGGCTGGTAGTTCTTTTCACTTAATAGTTTAAATATTTGATTCCATTCCTTTCTGGCTTGTAAGGTTTGTGCTGAGAAGTCCAATGATAATCTAATGGGTCTTCCTTCATAAGTTACCGGTTTTTTTCCTCCCTGGCAACCCTGAGAATTCTGTCTTTGTCATTTATTTTTGATAATTTTAATACAACGTGTCTTGGTGAAGGCCTTTTTGGGTTGAGAAAATTGATGTTCTGCTGACTTCTTGAATTTCAAGCCCCAGATCATTCCTTATATTTAGTCAATTTGAGAAATTCTCATCAACTATTTGTCTGAAAATGCTTTCTAATCTCTGTTCCTTTTCTTCACGTTCAATAATGCTCATTATTCTTATGTTTCCTCTCCTGATAGTATCAGCTAGTTCTTGAATTTCTCTTTCATTATTTTTCATTCTTCAGTTTGTCTCTTCTTCCTTCTGATTTATTTCTAGATTTCCGTCTTTGATATTGCTGATCCTTTCCTTCAATTGGTCGACTCTATTTCTCAAGCTTGCTATTCCATTTTTCAACTCTTACAGGGTATTTTTTTTTTTAATCTCCAGGAGATCTATTCTATTCTTTTTGAGGATTTCAGTCTCCTTGCTCTGCTCATCTAGTTGTTTTTCAATTTCTGAAATTGTTAATATGACTCGTTTTGGAACACACTGAGTTTTTTCAGAAGTATCATCCTGAAGTCTTTGTCATTTAAGTTGCATATTTCTATGTCTATAAGCTTATTTTCTGGAGATTTTTCTCTTTTTTCCGAGATGCCTTGTCACCTCGGTTATTCATTGTGTTTAATGGACTATTTTTCCACCTGTTCATTAATGGAAATGTATTTTGCTTTTTTTCCAGAAAGAAGATTTATTATATCGTCTCTCTTTAGCCTGTTGCGAAGAAGGTGCTTTTCTTTTGGTTTCCAGTAGGTGGCGTCTGAGCCTCTTGCGTCCCTGATTTATATAAAGCTTAAAAAATTCCCTTTTATTTTCTGATAGATATTTAATCATGCTCGTTACTCTCAGTTTCAGTCCCTGTCAGTATTAGCAACAGTTTGGGTAGCGTTTGTTTGGGCTCCGTAGTGTTTGGTCTTGGAGGATATGGGGGGAGGGGCCCTCTGGGTTGTGGGTTGGGGGCTGTGGCTCATCCTCGGTTTGCAACCGTGATGGGTAAAAATCAACTCTTGTTTCTCTGCCGGCCGCTTCTCTGCTTTCTGCCCTGATGACTAGGCCCTACAGCCAGCTGGCCACGGGGAGTTCACCACCTTCCCAGGCAGGGCTGTACAGGGAACTTGCCGCAGGAATTTGCAGTTCCTTCTCTCACCCTCCTCCTGAGGGGAACTCTGGCAGCTTCAATAGGCAGCTTCTTTATTTCTCCCAGTCCACCACCCGTGGTTCTGACCTATGGGAACTCTTATGAGTAGATTCCACACTCAGACATGCTGGTGTGCAGTTTGGGTGGTTTTTGTTGAGTTTTAGATGTTCAGCTTATTTTTGTTTCAAGGGGAGAGAACTGAGGATGTCTCTCACTCCGCCATGTTTCCAAAAATCCTAAATATCATTCTATTCTTCAAGTCTTCCCTGTTGATTAAATA